TCGTCTTTGAGGAGAGCAAACGAAGGATCTCTGAAAGCGAGCGTGAGGCTCAGGCGCAAGAAATAAGGCTGATGACGGAGGCATTCAAGGAGCTGAAAGGGAACATGCAGAAGTTGGTGCATAATGGAATGAAGGAGCACATCAACAACTTCATCAGTTCCAGCTCGTTTGACAGCATCGTCAACTTGTACCGGCTACCCACTGCCATCATCGCGTTCACTGATTGCAGAAAGAAGGTGAAGGCTGCATATCCCGAAGTGGACGTGACAAAGATCACCTTCGGCGAGCAAGAAGAAGGAGTGGAGGAAGACGGTGAGAGCATGTCAGCAGACTTCCGTCCTCAAATCAAACTGAGGTGGGAGGATGATGCAGACGATCTTGCTGTTTTCCCTCCAGAATTCGACTTCGAGTTCGTGGCAGTGGAGGAAGAAGGGGCAGAGGTAGGAGGAGACGAAGTGGAGGCTAGAGTGGAAGGAACTGAAGTGGATGAGAGGCAACTAGTTCCAGAAGTAGAGATCCACTCAGTTCCTTCTGACGATGAGCAGCCTCCACTGCCAGATGAGCAGCAGCCAACACAACCACCTCTTCCGGCTGAACAGGAGCCAGTGGAACCACCTCCACCAGCAGAGAAATAATTTTTTGTTTGTGAATTTTTTGTAGAAACATTAAACAATTTGTAAAACTGTTATTGCTGTTAAATGAAAATTCAAATTTGAAATTATATTATTTGTTTATGTTTGCTTTATATGTTTATTGTTATTTATGAATTAAAGAGCTGTGAATACTTGAGACGACTGAAGAAGAATTAAGAAGAAGTAATACACTTCAGACGAGTTAAGAAGAAGTAAGCCACTTCAGAGATTAACCAAAGTAATTCACTTCAGACGAGTTAAGAAGAAATAAGCCACTTTATATGAATTAGGAATAAGTACGCCATTGCAAACAAATTAAAGGGGGATAAAGCACTTCAAATGTGAAGTGACTTTTATTAACAGAAGTGAATGAACTGATTAACCTCAAATACATAGAATAAACACGAAGTGAGAAACATAAAGAACAGTAAAACATAGATTGCTTGGAAAAATTTCATCAGGGGTAAAATTTCTTCAAATTATTGACATTCCAGATTCTAGGAACTCTTTTTCCTTCAGTGTCTTGGAGAATATAGGCACCAGGATGTGGCACTTTGGCCACGGCATAAGGACCTTCCCAATTTGGGGCAAGTTTGCCAAAACGAGTTTCAAACCCCGTTAGGCCAGCTTTTCTGAGAACAAGGTCTCCTATTTTGAATGTTCGAGGGCGGACCCGTTTATTGTAGAAGTTGGCTAATTTCTGCTTGTATACAAGAGTTCGAAGCCGAGCTTCTTCTCTGACTTCAGCAAGCAAATCAAGGTTTTCCCGAAGCAGTTGTCCATTTCGTCCTTCATCGAAATGGGTGACCCGGAAGCTTGGGACTCCTATCTCAACAGGAATGACTGCTTCGGTACCAAAGGCCAGGTGGTAGGGTGTTTCACTTATTTCAATTGATTAGAACTTTAGAATGCGCTTTATGCGTTATGCATATTTGTTCTAAGGTAAGGCGTAACAGAAGAAGTGAAATAATATAAAAATTAATCAAATAAACTCGATTTAAAGTAGTACCTGTGGCAGTTCGGCTCGTGGTTCTGTATGCCCAGAGGACGTTGTGGAGCTCGTCTGCCCATTTGGCCTTATGCTGTTCCAATCTCGGCTTTATACCTTCCAGAATGCATTTGTTAACAGATTCAACCATGCCGTTGGATTCTGGATGATAAACGGAGGTGAGCTGTAACTTGATCCCATAACTGGAGCAGAAATCTCGAAAAGAGGAGCAGTTGAATTGAGTTCCATTATCAGCCACAATCTGGTTTGGGATCCCATATCTGCAGATGATTGAGCTGAAAACAAAATCTTCAACCTTCTTAGAGGTAAGACTAGATAAAGGCCGAGATTCAACCCACTTTGTGAAATAATCCACACCAACAACCAGATGGGTAACACCTCCAACCCCTTTCACGAATGGACCCAAAAGGTCTAGTCCCCACTGTGCAAATGGCCATGGTGCTACCAAGCTTGTGAGTTCTTCTGCAGGTTGATGAGTCAGATGTGCAAAGAATTGGCACTTCGGACATTTCTGAAACAAAGTAAGTGGCATCTTTGTACATGTTCGGCCAGTAGTATCCTTGTCTTAAGACTTTGTGAGCCAGAGTTCTAGCACCGACATGGCTCCCACAGACACCCTCATGCACCTCTCGAAGTGCGTATTCAGCTTCATAGGGACTTAAACACCGTAGGAGAGGAAGTGAGAAAGATCTCTTATACAGGACTCCATTAACAAGTGTATACCGAGATGCTTTCTTCCTTAATTTTATTGCCTCCTGCCTGTCCTCGGGCACTATCCCGTCTCGTAAGAAGGAGACAATTGAATCAGTCCAGCTTGGCGTGTCAGGATTTGTGTTAATCTCCATCACTCGAGGCTTTGTGAAGCTTGGTTCATCTAAAACTTCTACAAAAACAGATCTGGAGCTTAAAGAGTTATCAGCGGCAAACTTGGAGAGTGAATCTGCCTGTTCGTTCTCAGCGGGGGATTTTACTCAGACAGAATTTCTGAAATTTGCACTTCAGCTCGGCCACTAAGGCTACATACTTTACCATCACAGGATCAACGACTTCGCAAATAGAGTTGATCTGGTTTACCACCAGTTGGGAGTCACTGTACACTTGAATTGCGCTGATCTTCAACTCTAATGCTAGTTGTAGGCCAAGTAGCGGAGCTTCATACTCAGCCATATTATTTGTCGCATCAAAGTTGAACTTCAAAGCATGTTCGCTTCGATAACCGTCTGGACCAATCAAGAGAGCTCCAGCCCCTGAACCTTTGCTACTATATGCCCCGTCAACATATAAGGTCCATTCATTGGGTTTTGAAGTAGAGGTTGAGGGACATGGGGTGCATTCAACAACAAAATCTGCTAATACTTGAGCTCGGATGGCCGACCTCTGCTGAAACGTGATCTCAAATTCCCCCAGTTCTACTGCCCACTTAATTAACCTTCCAGAGCATTCTGGTTTCTGCAGAATCTGCGGGAGGGGTTGATCTGTGAGGACGATGATTGGGTGTGACTGGAAATATGGTCTCAACTTCCTAGCCAAAGTGACAACTGCTAGTGCTGCTTTCTCAGCTATAGGATACCTTAGCTCTGCTCCGTGCAGCACACTGCTGATATAATAAATTGGTTTCTGCTGTCTAGCTTCTTCTCTCACCAGAACTAAACTAATGGCCTCATCTGAAATCCCCAGGTACAAATAAAGAAGTTCTCCATCTACAGCTTTAGTTAACAGAGGCGGTGAACTAAGATAAGACTTTAGTTCTTCAAATGCAGCTTGACATTCCTGGTTCCATTCA